TTTTTTTTTTGTGAATTTTAAATCCTTAAGGAAGCCTACTGTTACTGAGAGAATGAAAAAATTAGACATCTGCGAGAATTCCCCACTTACTAAACCGTTACTTACACATATTTTATACATTTTGTAGATAATCTTTTAGAACGAATCATGTACCACTCAGTCACTAATGAATCAATACTGGTCCAAGTATGAAAACAAAAAGGAATTTGGCACTGAAGATCGAATTTTAAAATTTTAACCAACAAGATCCTTCCTTCCGCGCCTTTTGGCAGTGGTCGGATTATATTAAGGAAAAACAAAATTTTACTAATTCTTCATCGAATTAGATGCTGGATTTGAAGTTTTGTACTCTATGAGGCTTTTTGAGACGCTCATTTTTTTCCCCAAACTACGAAAGTAGAGCAGAAATATTCAAGTCTTGAAAATGCACTGGAAAGTATATAACGAATTCTGAGGCGATGAATGAAACAAAAACTTACCGCAGGTCTTTCGTGTTAGTAAGATAGCCAATAAACTTTTCGGCTTTTTTTCTCAGTCTTGCTATGATTATTACCGCTGTGTACAGTGACAGAAACAAATTAACAGTGGTTCAATTTTCTTTCATAAGATTGTAGTTTCAGTAGTTTGAGGTTTCCCTCAACAGAACACTTTTAGAACAGATTAGTTACCCAAATTTCCATAAAGGCGTTTGCCTATTTGCAAAACTGTACTAAGACTACTATGAACAGAATTAAAGAGTATTCCGGTAGTAATCAAAATGCTGAATCTTTTAAAAGTTATTCAAGTGAAAAAAATTTACCTGCATTTACAGTTTTTTTTGCATATTTCTCCTGTTACACTACGGTCTATTCTAATTCTTAATTACTCTTTATAACTTTCTAGTTATTTTTACCTGTTGTTTTTAATACTTCTTTTTGTGAGGCAAGGAAGTTCTGTGCCGCTGTCAAAAACACTCGCTTCAACACCGAAAGACTCGTTTTTTTTTTGCCTCTGTAGACGTCTGGCGTTTATGAATTTCACTGAAAATTGTTACCATGCGTCTGTCATTTAGCGAAAAGACGAGAAATAACGATACGTCTGAAGAGACGCTGTTACAGAGAATATCAGAAATATAAAGAAGCAATGAAGAAAAGTGGTGACATACACTCATACAGAAGTTTCCATATGCTTGTTCAGTTAATGCTAATTTTTTACTTAAGCAAATTGTGACTTGATAGCAGAAACTATAAAAAAAGCTATCTTAAAAAAGAAGATGGGATTTTGGCTCGCAAATCCCACTGGGAATAAAAAGCAGTACTCTCTGTCTTAACCAAAATTTATAAAATATTGCGCCAAAAGCTTAATGAGAGAAAGTCGTATAGTTTTAAGTCTTAAAGATACTTTGGACGCAGTAGTGAAGGATCACTGCAACATAGTAACAGCATTACGGAAAAGGGCTTTTCTGTAGAACAGAGGTGGCAGAATTTCTTTAACCACTCAGTCAAACAGAATCCTAAGAAATGAGGCTCTATAATAAAAAATTAGTCAAGGTTACACTGACAATAAAAGAATAGCACAGTGGATAATCTGCATAATCCTTCTGTTATTTTTTCTTCAGCGTCTCTTTTCCTTACAACTGCTGTTTTAAGGAACCGTAGATTAGTGTGAACAAAACCGTACGTTGTGGAAGATCAATGCCTACGCAGAATTCTAGAAAAATTTTGCCTGTCTATAGAGGTCAACTTAATGTATGTCACACAAATGTATTGATGACACCAAAAAATCAGCACAAAGTATTTAAGAAGTACTGCTTGTTTTGCCAGTAAATTTATAGATTTTTTCCCGAAACACTAATTTTTCCTTAGCATCGCAACAAATTAGCATCAGTTAAGCAGCACTAGATTTCTTTAGGAATTAATAACCACTAACAAAAAAATTTCTACTGCCTTTTTTACGTGGATATCCTAGACTGGTAAGAAAAAAATTCTTTACAGATATTTTTGTAAGTTTTTCCCTTCATCGCATACGATGGATTTCTTTCCTACGCATTTAAAAGATTAAGACTCAAGCTAAATGATCTATGAGATGATTAGAAAGTTTAGCATTTTAGTAAATAAAATTACGTATGATAATGCTTGAACTATAATTGTGATGGTTAAATAAAACTCGAACATTTTTTATTAACAAATTATATTCTATTTTCCATTTCTCGTCAATTTTCTTTTATTTTGCACCAATCTGTCAAACAAAGTGAAGTGTAATTGAGCACTGGAATTCTAAAGGTCTTAAGTGTGATTGAAATAGATACTTTCATACGTACGCGCAAACACAGTTATTATACGTCCGTCACTCTTTACCGACAAGTGATACTGTCGAATACTGGGCATCAGTTTGATATGTGAGAGACCAAGACTAGCGTGTTTTATCCTACGCGATCAACAGCAATGCCAAGCAATGGTACTATGCTACCCAACCCATGGTAGACCTCCTCTCACGCAAACTTCGATCAGGATGCATGGCTGCGATATGAAAGGCCGGCGGTCAACCGGAACGCGCGAAATGGTGCTGCAATTTTTACAGGATGTTTTCACAGAGTTTTGTAGTATGTAACGTATTTCGGCAAGCTGCCAGTTATTTCGGGACCAATTAGTTTTGTGCAGCGCTGTAACATTTTTGGCTATGTATTCAATGAGGTGTCCGAGTGGTGAGTTTTTTACCCGCATAGCCACGTAGACCTTATGCATATAGCATAATTTTTTTTCCTCTTTTTTGAATTTAGTGTTGTCAATTTGTTTTGTTCGTTGTTCTCGGTCAAATATTGTCCTGGTTGAGCGTTACATGTAAATTACGCATGTTTCAAGCTGGTAATATGCTACATAAATTAATGACATGGAATTTAGTTCATTTTTTCTTTGAATGAAAGCGTAGAGCCGTTGTTGACTTAGTTATTGGTATATGTTTCTCCTCATTTTCTGTGCTATTTCTACAGAACTGTAGCCGATCATTTGTTTACAAATTATTGTTTTATTCTTTTTTTTCTTGAGAATTTTGCTAAGTTTGTAGCAATTAAGCGCCCAAAAACGCCTGTGATTTTTTTTTTTGAACCGTAGTAACACTGTTAGGATTAATTCCAATAGATTTTTTAACATTCTTATTTTTTTTACTTTAAAATTAATAGAAACTGAAAGAAAAAAAGAAAAAGGGGAAGTAAAAGAATGAATTATGTGAACGTTTAGTCGTTGCTTTAAATAAAGATGAAAGTATTTTCTGTTTGCTGATGTTTCCAAGTACAAATTTTCTCTTTTATGGTTTCAACCGTTGCAGTTTGCGCAGTTGGCCTTATATTGCATCAAATCTTTTCCTATTTTTGTCCAGAAATCCAATTTTTTATCCTTTTTTCCTTCTAGAAGCATAATTTTTTCTATTGATTAATGTGAATTTTTTAGTCAGTAAACGATGCAGAACAAAGTGAAGGAGAAAGAAAAAAAGAAATGTAGCATTTGCTTGAGCAATGTTTCGTTTTCTTTACCATTTTTTCGCTGGTTTCCATTTATTTAAAATTCATGTATCAGTGAAGTGATATGAAAAAGTGACAATGAAACGGAATTAAAAATAAAGGTTTAAATTCATTATTCAGGAATATTGTTTTGTCTGAAGACTAAGAAAAAAAATGACCAATGTTTTACAGGTAGTCGTTTTGTTTGTTCTTCTCTGTTTTTGCAAAATCAAACAACTTTGCGAGAAATTATAGTTGGTTGTATACTTAAGTATGCATCTTTTTGTGACGTTTACTAAACACTACTTTTTCCTTCATTTTTTATTAGAAAGGTCGATGTTGTTTACTGTACAGCTAACTGTTCTATGTATGACTGTCAAATTCAATCTTTAACTGTCATTTGCTGACGTTGACATATTGGTTTTTGCAACAGTGATTCTGAATATTTTTTTGCCGTCGTAGTGCCATGTCGGATGAATTCCTGGATGCCTGTTCACTCTTCTGTATATTCACTAACGGAAAGGTATTTTTTGAAAGGAATTGAAGTAGCACTGCTTTCATTTTTGATGCTTTTGATGCTTTGGTTGTGTCTAACTGTACAGAGCAGTGACTTTTTTGCAAGATGATTTGAAGGCGTTAGAAAAATTTAGTCATTAAGATGTTCGGTTTTTTTAAGAGTGAATTTTTTATTATGAAAAATTTCCCGGCATCCTCTTAGTCTGAGATTTAAGATTTCATTTTTACTGGCTTTGAAAATTTCTTCAGTTTGCTATTTAAGTGATTGATATAAATGCAGTTACTTGTGGCCAGCCGTATTTAAAATTGGACAACCTCATCCTGGTGTTCATTTGCAGGAAGACAATTCGAGGGGAGTTTTCTCGTAGTTTTTTGCATATTAAATGGGAAGGGAGGGACGTGGTCACTTGTCCGTCGCATGCTAATCGTTCGACAATAGATATAGCTGCAAACGTTAAGATCTCTGCTGGTCAGTAGACCGTTGAAATTGATAGCCTCAAATTTCGTTTTGAATGAAGCAAGAAAAAAAGCGAAAGAAAAAAGAGCAAAGACGGGGTTATGAGGAGAAGCGTTCTCTTAGAAGAGATTAGAAGGAGCGAAGAATTAGTTATCTGCAAAAGTCACAAGTCTAATAAGTTTTGCGGTTTTAATAGTCACTCTTTGTATCGTTCTGGGTAATTAATAGTGGTCCTGAAAACTGAAAACTCGGGAGCAAATGTTATTGTTAAATAAAAGCTCAGGACGCGTCTCTTCATTAGCTTTCTTCATCGGATTAAATTCATTTACCTAGTATTTCCTAAACCAGTTAGGTTTTAATGGAGTAATTGGTTTCAGGAACTGATAGTAATCGTCTTACCCTTTATATCCGCTCAATGTGGTAGAGGCAACTATTGCAGCGTAGAAATTGGAAGGGAGGAAGAGGACTGGCGGGGAATAAAAATTATGAATATAAGGAACTGATGGTGAAGAGTTTGATGAAGCGAAGCACTCGTTAAAGTGTCACATATTGATGACAGAAAAACAACAGCAACTACCGAGCAACCGTCTGGGCCAGTAACAGGACGGTGAATGAAGCATTAAAATGGAGATTGAGTGTTGTTTTATAGTACCCAGGCGTCTAAGAATCTAAGCCCTGTACCAATTAAGCAGGGACTCTTTGGGATCTGACCGAAGTTAACTGCTGAAAAGTGAAATTTTTGCAATTTTTTCCTGGCATGTGTGGGACAAGTTCTTCGTATTCTGTTCTCTCCAGTATCCTGAAGTCTAAAGCAGAGCTGTAAAGATGCTCGACGGAGAAGCTTTCTAGCGCTAGTCGTCCTCGTTCTACATTTTTTAAATTTATAACAGAAATAGGTGGCGGAATGAACAGTTTTACCGCAGATAAGAAAGAAGAACTGAACTCATAGATGAGGGTTGTACGGATTATAAAGATTTTGAGTACTGCTGAGATTCTTTATTTGCGACGTATATGAAAAACTCGGAGTTTTTAGCTTGCTGATTAAATTTGAATACTCATTCTGTATTGCTTGGGTTTTTGCAGTTTTAAAACGCAATTGTGGACTCACTTTTTTTTCACTTACAATGAAAAGTTGTTGCTGTAGTTTATTCAAATGTCAGCTAATTTGATTGGTACATTGCGCAGTTGGTTCAAATTAATTTCTTCCTTTTTCTTTATTATTTCTCTCCAGATTAAAAATGTTGTTTGATGTTAGTTGTAGAATAAGCTAGACATTCTCAGCTTTAAATAATCTTTTTACATGGGTCGCGCTGAAACATATCGTATTTTTTTGTTAATCACGTGTTATTTTCTACCAATAATAGCAGTATTTATTATTATATTTAGCAATGGGTGATCCGAACGTCCCTTCTTCAGACGCTATGAAGGATTCAGATTGCCCTACGGAGAGCACTGTGGTTACGAATGACGTTCGGGATCTGGGAAAAAACCAGTTGAAGGTTGTTTTTACTTTTTTTGAAGTTATTATTGTAAAATTTTATTACTGATATTATTTTTGATTATTACTGATATTTATACTTCTCCAACTACGGCTTGTTGATGATTTTTACTTCTTTCTAGAAGACTGAAAAGATTAATCAAAATGGTGGTGAGCATGCCACTTCTGTGGACTCACTTTTGCTGGATGAGAGCAGCAGTGTTGCGGGAAGTGTAACGGGACGGCAACCAAATGGTCCTAAAAAGACTGTCCGGGAGCGTTATCATTCTGTCAAACAACAGTCAGCTTAAAATTTTTTGATAAATTTTTTAAAGAAGTGATTCCGAGTGTGTAATAATGTTTTGGTAATTTATTGATACAAAGCTAGTAAATTTTATGACTTTAAGGTACCCGGAACTAATCAGGAGGCTGAACCAACATAGGACTCAAACACCAAACTCTTTAGAATGGTTATCGGGCACCAAAAATCCTTTAGTACTTAATGCTGCACAGAGTCCGGTGATAAAGTAAGTCATTTGTTAATTGTTTCTTTCTAATTTTGCATGGTCATGAGTATAATTTAAAGACGTTAACTCGTTTCCAGTTTACTGCGCGGCGAAAAGAATTCAACTCCAAAAGAAACTTGGGAAACTGCTCGACCAGTGGTACCTTTAGATGTTTCGGCGGTCGAACCTGTTGCTACAAAACGTAAATGAGGATTCATCTTTAATTTATATCACGCATTAGAATAGATAGCTCAGAAATTCCAAAAGATTTTTAAAAATTTCAATCAAGTCATGAATGTAAGTGAATTTCAGAACAACTTTTGTCATTTTTCATGCTTCTCGTCATTTGATTCTTTTTAAAGATATGTTATGTGCTTAAGGAATCTTGCAGTTACATTTACTGCTGAGTCCATTTTCAAGTTTGCCAAGTTTAAAAAACTTTAATTCCAAGATTTTTTGCTACTGACCGTTACTGGTTAGTAGTTTATTTGGTACCAAGAAGTTACATTGCCCTCAACCATCTTTACTTTGAGGAATACTGACTGTTACTTGTTAATCTACAATATTTTTTAAGCTATCTAGACTCATCTTTCTCTATTATACGCAAGAATTACTAGCCTGATTTTGATTTTCTGTGATATTATTTATAAATTCATTTTGATGCTCTTACACCATTGCTTCAAAACAACTTCTAATTCAGAAGTATATCTTTCTGTTTAACAGCATCTTAAGTTAGTTTTTGCTCTATTTTATTTAAAAGTAAAGTTTTGAAGGTATTCGGGCGCTTATTTTCAGTGAATCATTCTTTCACTTTTCCCGAAGATTTGAGTTTGGAACGGCAAGCCCCTCGAGGGACACCACAAGAAAGCGTGGATGATGATTTTGTTAACTCTAAACGGAGGTTAACTTTCTGTTTTCACATGGTCACTCTTTCGCAACTCGGACTTCAAAAAGGATTGGTTTTCTTTTTCATCTTATTTTTTTTTATTCTGTTTTCAGGATGAGGAGAGTTCGCCATTTGGACTATCCTGAACGAGCTCCTTCTCGCGGAGCAAGATCAGAAATGGGCGATATTGGTCCACGGGGCGGGTTAGGTTTTTATCGTCCACACTTTTCACAGCAGCATTTTTATGATCCACGAAGTTTCTATTCTGCTTCTCGGTAAGTTGTTTTTGACTAGTTTCTTTTTTAATTGTTTATTCGGAAATGACCTAATAGTAACATTGGTTACAATTAACATTTTCAAGGGATTATACAGAGGGTCGGCGTTCCGTCGGTCTTATGCATCAGTATGGTCCTTACGATCCGCATGGTATATACGCGGATAACCTCTCTCGTCGGCGGCCTCAGTCGTCTTTTGAACAAGTTGTGAATCACAGGTTTTTTTGAGAATATTTTCTTGGGCAGTGCTTGGAGGGGTTTTGTTTCGTATTTTCTGTAAATTATTTTCCTTTGTAAATCAGTTTAATGTTGCGAATTCTTGTCAGAGTTGAGAAAGTCTTGGGAACAAAGCAAGACCGTGCCAAATAAAAAGATTTTAATTGAAATAGCTATGTTTGAAGAATAATACTTTTGTTACATAGCGGTTTTTATGGTTTTCATTACTTTTAATGGTGTTCTGTAAATATAGAAATGTGTTTAAACCCTTATAGTATTGATAAGTCTGGAATTTGAAGATAAAGTAAAATTTTTAAAGTTTAATATTAAAGAGTATAATTTTTTAAAGCTTTGAAGGGAATGTTTATGAGACATTTTCTTTGCAAAATATTGTGACTCAAAGTTTGGTACCAAACGGTTAGGGATTATGGGACAGGAAGTGAAGCCATCTTGCAGGGTTGTCTTTAAATTTTACGACAAGGCGCGGCTAATTTTTGTATTACAGGCTTAATGATTGCCAGTTTGCGTGAAGAACACCCTGGGACCCTGGGTAACAAAAATTTGTGTAGTTGTAAGATATTTTGCTTTTGGACTTATGCCTCAGTCTGTAACTC